CCGATTCAGTCGTCGCCTGCGCTTGCTCCCGCCGCGTCGGCGCCCGTTCCTGGTTCTCGTCTGCAACTGCCGCCGCTTCCTCCCGTTGCTGGCGTGGAGTTTGTGGCCGCGGGCGGAGGCTCGCTATCGGCTCCGTTTGCTCTCCTCGCCGGCGCTGATGAGCCGCTTCAGTTCCTGGCGGAGGCACTGCAGCCTCCGCAGACCCGTGTTCCCGAGGCGACTCTTGGACAGCTGCACCGCCTCGCTGACAGCCTCCATGCTCTGCTGCTGATTCAGGTGCTGGCTCATTCGTCGCTTCCGGTGATTCCTCCTAAGACCTTCCGTTCTCGCCAGCGTGACCCTTGCTTGGACGCGGCAGACCAGCTCGCAGTGCTGCTGGCGCCCGTGCTGGCTGCGCCCGCGGAGGGAGGCGCTGCTGCTGCGGGACAGCTCGACGAAGCTGTCCGGGGCCTGAGGCGGCACTTGCGCGCTGGATCTGGAGCCGCGGCGATCGGCGCAAGCACGCTTGTGGTCCGGGAGCTGTGGCGCTCCCTGACGGGCGTTCTTCACGCCCTTGGAGCTCACCGCATGTAGATGCGGGCTCCGCTTCTACTTGTGTCGCCATTGCTGCTTAGGATGTTGTTGATGCCGCCATTGTTTGTATGCCGTTTGCTTAACCTCGGTTGTGTTCGTGTTCCTTGCCGTCCCCTCACGCGCGGCCAAAGGCCGCGCTGTCGAGCGTCGGCCGCCTTCGGCGGCCGACGCGAGCCGCTGGGTTAGAAGGAATGAACCCACGAAATGAATAATGAGACAAGCGCCAGGCCCACGGCCTTATATAGCGGAGCTAGGGGCGGCTGAGAGGCTGAGAGGCTAAGGGACTAGGGGTCTATGCCTCTCTCTCTCTCTCTCTCTCTCTCTCTCTCTCTCTCTCTCTCTCTCTCTCTCTCTCTCTCTCTCTCTCGCTCTCTCTCCGCTGGGTTAGAAGGAATGAACCCACGAAATGAATAATGAGACAAGCGCCAGGCCCACGGCCTTATATAGCGGAGCTAGGGGCGGCTGAGAGGCTGAGAGGCTAAGGGACTAGGGGTCTATGCCTCTCTCTCTCTCTCTCTCTCTCTCTCTCTCTCTCTCTCTCTCTCTCTCTCTCTCTCTCTCTCTCTCTCTCTTTCTCCCCTCTCTCTCCGCTCGGTTAGGAGAAACAAATGAAAAGGAAATCGAACAAAGAAGAGAACTAGCTGTAGAGGGGCACTTTATACTAGTCTGAAGAGTGCTGGAGAGGCTAAGGACTAGCTCCTAGGGCCTCTCTCTCTCTCTCTCTCTCTCTCTCTCTCTCTCTCTCTCTCTCTCTCTGTGTGTATGTGTGTGTGTGTGTATGTGTGTGTGTGTGTGAGTGTGTGTGTGTGTGTGTGTTTGTGGTCGTGGTGCAGGCAAGCTCTACACGCTGACAACTGGGGAAAATGAGCGTCGTTGGAGGATGGTGAATAAGAAGCTTCGCACAGTGGTGGCTTCATTTGTCACTCTATAGACTTAAGCAGGATCGCTTGTCTTGTGGTGTCTGTGTGTGTGTGTGTGGTGGGGGGGACACATTAGAATAAGACAACAAAGCATGTGTCTGGTGGTTGATGTGTATGGTAGATAATATATTTTGGTTTCAGAGAATTGAGGTGGCTTGATCACCTGCTTAACGAATCGGATGTTTTCAGTGTATTAATTGCATACTACACTTGCAACGAAGATTCCAGTCGGTGCTGTATTCATGGAGGTGGTCTTCGTGACAGGTCAAACAGGCCCTGAGTCTTTGCTTAACCCTGCACCAGCACCAAAACCTTATGACTCGTGAGTCATGCCTGAACTGGTAAGCTATTTACTGCCCTGATAATTAGAGAGATTGGTGATGAAAAATAGATATCAGTGATGAGACGTACGTTTCTTCATTTGGGCTTCTGTACACAATATGGTACATAGAATCAAAGCGAGCAATGTGCTATTGAGAAAGTTAACACTCCACATTTGCGCTATTATACCGTAAGCCCCCGGATAGAAGCGCAGGCCTCGCATAAGCGCCGGCGCTTATAAAAGGATGAGGGCGCTTATATCCGCTCCTCGATTATAAGCGCATGCTTCGAGCCTTACGGATTATAAGCGCACCCCTATTACCTTACACATTTTAAGCGCCACCATTTAAATACTACATTTTTAAGTTTTACGCTGTTACAATTAGTATCCTACGTTTTCTCTTAGTATCTGACTACATATTCGCATTTTCTACATTTTCTACCACATTTTCACGTCCTACACATTTCTAATTTACCCACAACCTATGCATCCTCCTCAGCAGTGGCAGTGCCTTCGTCGGCGGTCTCACCGTCCGACTCTGGCTCGTCTACGTTGTTGCAGCAGAATTCATCTGCTGCAATCTCGTCGTCAAGATCCACTTCGCCTTTGACGGCATCCCGCCGGTGCTGCAGGCAGAGACCGTCCTGAGACCCGTCCAAGGCGTTACTGATGCCGCACGTCAGAAACGAGCGCTCAATCAACTCCTTGGGCACTGCCTTCCAGGCCTTGGAGATCCACTTGAGCGTCAGCTCAGGTGGTGGCTTGCGGATGTTGCCTGCCACACGTTGAAAGATTCATCAGTTAGAACAGGGTCAATAATTGAAAAACAGTCCTAAATCTTAAATCTTACCTCTTTCAGCCCGGCAGTCAACACCCTCGCTCTCGAACCATTGCTGGTACTGTTGTCGCACAGCTGCTTTGAAGGAGCGGTTCACCGCGACGTCCAACGGCTGCACCTCCGATGTGCAGCCAGCCGGTATGACGGCCGGCACGATACGCAGCTCGCCGAATTTCGCCCTCACTTGATCAGTCAGGTGCCCGCGGTAGGAGTCAAGCACCAACATCGCCCTCCAACTGCGCACTCCGAACCTCGGGTTGACGTACGGGCCCACCGTACCGTCGAGCCATGCGAGGACGCCTTCCGCGTCCATCCAACCGTTGGGATGTGCGGCGACCACGACATCTGCACATCCGCACAACGTTGAGATTGACATCAGAAAAAAAAAACAACACATGCAAATCCTACCGGGACTGCACAAGCTGCTCGGCTTACCGGAGGGGAAATTCCCCTTTGGAACTGTCTTGCGCTTAAAGAACACCCAGGGCTTGAGCTTCTCGCCGCTGGCGGTGCAGGCGAGCATCACCGTCACGCGTTCCTTTTGATAGCCGCCGCTGCGGATGGGCACGGAGCGGACCCCCACCTCCTCGACAGTGCGTTCAGCTAGCATTTCGAGCCAGAGCGGGGTCTGATCCGCATTTATGATCCAGCGGTTGTCGATTCCGTACTGTCGGCGGGTGTGTCGCACGAACTTCCAGAAGTTTCGCACTTGCGTCTCGCACTCTGGAAGGGACGGGGAGGCAGAAACCATAAAAAAAGACTAACACATCGACCGGTTGGCAAAGGAGATAAACAAGAGCGAATACAACACGCCCACTCACCGGAGGATAGTTTCTGGCCGACACAGGTCTTCGCTCGGGTAGTGAGATTCCAGCAGCGCCGAAAACGCTCGGTCCACCTCTGAGATCCCGCCCACTTTACCTCAAGATGCAGGCTCTTCATCACCTCTCGCGACCACTGCTGCAGGCGGCCGACCGACACTGCGAGGCACTTTTTTCGGGCGGCAAGTACTCGTGAGTAGACCTGGATCTCCATGTCGCGATACCACGACGACCGACCACGCCCGTGAAGACGCTTGCGAGCCCCATGCGCGCCCTCCAGCTCACCCTTCCGCGATTTCCATACTGCCAGGGACTTTCGGGAGATACCAGAGTCGCGTGCCATCTTCCGCATACTCACGGCACCGGACTCCAGCTGTGAAATCTAGTGCAGCTTCTCCTGAGAAGTATAGGAGTGCCGCTTGTGCCTTGAGCGCCTGCTCCTGGGAGACGGGGGGCGGGAATCACGATTCTGGGTGCAGGGGTGGGGCCTTTTTTTATTGGGCGGGGGAAAACTTGGGACAGGCAAGTCCTCGGGAAGACCGTTGGTCGCCCACCACTCAACATCGTCTTCGGCACCGGTGGCGGATTCGTCGTGCGGGCAGTCTTCCGGGTCTCCCCAACGTGGCGAAAGACCGGGACCGGTTTCATCTTCGTCGCTGCGCTCGGGCTCGTGCTCGGGCTCGGAGATGTACGCATCGAAAGCAGAGTAGCCGCAAGGGAGAAGCTGCAGAATGGGCACACCGTTGATGACGACGATAGGCGGAGCGGGAGGAGCAGGAGGCGCTGGAGGTGCAGGAGGCGCAGGAGGAGCAGGAGGAGCAGGAGGTATTGGCGCTGGACGACTCTGCCACTGGGAGTAATCGGGAGCTTTGTCAGCAGCACCTCGGCGCTTAAAGAGGAAATGGGTGCTTGGTCGGCCCGCCATAGCTAAGGCAGGCCGATGGGAAACAAGAAATCTGAAAAAAACAGGGAGAATGAAGCATGTTTGAAACCCTTGCCCGAGACCCCTCCAACTTCGCGGCCCAGGTTCCTCTGCAGGCTAAGGGGAGAAACAGTCAAGATCTCCCCGCAGAGGAGCTGATGTGGTGAGGTCCAAGCGTTTTTGGCAAGGAATCTTGCCCCGTTTGTGGTTTTACTGCGTCGTGGCTAGCACGACAGTCGGCCCTGATTGGGCAGTCGCACACTAAACTGCGTGTGCGTTGGCATGGGCCAGATTCGGTACGATGAATCTGGCCAGGCGAGCAAGGCGTGGCGGGCGTGATTCCGAGCCTTGTTGGCAATTTGATGCGCGTTTCATGCACAAACTCGAACGTTCTAGATGTGGATTGAATCCCCGTTTGAAAAGGCTTCAAATACATGTAAAAAAAAACCATTTCAATTTTGCCATTTTATAGGCGCCGGCGCTAATAAAATTCCTCAATTATAAGCGCACCCCCTAAAAAACAGTGTTTTATTATAAGCACAGGGGCGCTTCTATCCGGGGGCTGACGGTACTGCACAACCATTTATGTACATGTTTCATGACCTTATGCGATATTGTCCTGCATAATGGCTCCTGGCACAGCTTTGAAGGCACCTCAAAGAAGCCCCTAGGGCGTGATATGAGTAGCATAATTTAGTCAAAGGTCAACTCAGAATGTCGATGGTACGCAAATAGTTCTTGCTTCTACAGTACCAGAGCAAGACCTACCATTGTAGTTGCAAAACTGTGCAATTGCGGTTGAGGTAGTTCCACGATAGAAGCGGTAAGCACTTGAGCATGGCATTGATGGCTGCACAGGCTTGATCCTACCCTTCTTGCATATCTCCATCGTGAACGACCAATACTCTGCTGTGAGGCAAATCTGGGATCAGAGAAGCATGGGATGGAGCCTCAGGAATAAATAAGGTTAGCGGAGAAACCGAAGCAGACTAACAAGGGATGCATCATAGTCGCACGAGGTCTTTCGGGAACAGTGCAAAGCTCTCTTACCTTCGCCCACCATTCCGTGCTCCCCCATCCCAGACAGTTTCCCCCCAGCCCTCACAGTCCTCACCTGTACACCAATGTTGCTGCCGACAGCGGAGGCAGAGGAAGGGATAGTGGCAGAGCAAGTGAGGCCAGGATTGTTGCGGTACAGTGCAGCCCATTGATTCTCAATGGCACTGACACCTCCTGGTGAAGTGCCAGTCCTCTGAAGCAGCCGCTCGCACGTGTCTTGGGGTGTGAGCGTGCCGTATCTCACACACTCAGGTATGGTGAATGCGAAGGCAGCACTGCGCTCGATGCACACGGAGCGGCCGGCTTTGATGGGCTTGGAGCAGTCAAGGCCGGGGTTGAGTGCGGTGAGATCAGGTTCTGTGAAGTTGAGCCGTCTGCTGATGTAGGCACAGGTGTCCCCCTGGAGGGTTGGAGAGAGGAAGGAAAAGGGATGCACAGATGATTGGATCTTGCTCACTTGCATTGACAATCATGCAATATGTTGAGCTGAGAAGGTGAGTTGGTTGGGTGAAAGCGGCAGGTCTCACGTTGAGGGTATAGAAGAAGGCAGTGCAGGGTGTGGCAGAAGTACCATCCAGCTGAAGAACACTGCCCTTGGGCATCGGCTGGCTGCAGTCAATACCCTGAAGTAGGAGACACGTGCATGGAAAAGAGTTTTGAATGGGCAAGGTCACATGGCAGGACCTTCACTCCTTTCTGGGACTTTGGTGAGAGTAGGGTCGTCACTCCTTGATACGCAATAGAACATTCTAGGAGTCTTCTTGTCAATGAAAAGCCGGAACAAGGAAGTGAGATGTGACCGGTGGCGTTTTGAGAAAACAAAGTGAATATGGAAAGTGCAATCCAAATGACGGATGATGGTTGGCATATAACAGCATCACCTCTTCACCTCATCACATACTATGTTTTGGTCAGTGAAGTCAATCAGTGAGAGGCCAACAAGGGGATGAACATCAGAGCACCACCAGTTGTCGCCACTGACTGTCATTGTGGTGGCCGTGGTGTTGGCTGCAGACAAGAAATGGGAGTGAGAGAGAGGCATTGAAAAAGAGTCAGAGAGCAATTTAAGATTTGCAGAAACAGAAGAACAGAAGAAAAGAAAAATAGACCTACAGACATATTTAATCCCCCTACTTGGATCGCAGGTGGGGAAGCCGTCAATTGTTGTGCTCTGAACGTGGTTGGGAGGGCAGACGCAGGAGTAGGAGCCCTTGCCATCGTTGATGCATGCTCCCACGTAGCAGGGGTTATTGAAGTATGACCCACACACGTCCACTGCCACACGTGCACCAGGGTGGGTGGGTGGAGGATAGTACAGAGATTGTAGACGGTGGATTTTGGAAGACCCACACACGTCCACTGTCACATGTGTTCCGGGGAGGCGGATATTACAGAGATTGGGGAAGGCGGATATTGGAAGATGTAAGTTATCTTTTGAGTCGACAAAATATTCTTGAAGTATGACCCACACACGTCCTGTGCAACGTGTGTGCAGAGATTGAGGAAGGCGGAGATTGGAAGAAGAGAGTCATTTTATGAGTGGACTCAAAAATCTTACAGACTGACCCACAAACGTCCACTGCCACACGTGTTCTGGGGTGGGTGGGTGGCTTATGGTGCAGAGCATTGAGACAGATATGGTACTTCAGATAAAAATGAGTGGGAAACTAGGGGAAAGAAGAAGGGGTATATGGGCTGTGCACTCCCATCCAGCGAGACGGCAACCAAACCTCTGGCCCCTGCAGCTTGGAGACTTCTTACACACATCGGAAGTGGGCCAGTGTACCAACTTTGCAGAGCACAGAATTTTGAGAGGAGTCTTTTTTCTCACCTCGTTGCCCTCGTTCTCTATGGCAACCATCGCATGCTAAAACAGCCAGACAAACTTCAGTGAGAGACCAACCTACTTGCCCTTCTACTCATCTGCCCAATTGCCGCAGAACTCACCATAAGCACATGTGTTGGAGCCGTATCCATTCTCAACCTCCACAAAGGGCTGCACATGAGCAGTGGGAATATTGCAGGTGCAGATGTTGGTGGTCTCTGTCGTCCCCTGGCACTGGAAGCGACCGCACGGGTTCATACTGGGCTGCGAATCCCCATCGCCCTTGTAGCTGCTCTGTCAGCAGGGGTCGCCTGGAACTGGGAGGTGTCAAAGAGGACACACTTGAGAAACATGAGAATGGAGGTTGGCGGTCGACAGCTAACGAACAGCTAACAAACAGATAACAAGTATCCACAGTGGCGAAGCGCCATTCAGTGCACATGTAACAGGAATGATGCCATGACCGACCACCCACTAGTGGAAGAAAAGTCGGAATTTCGGCTTGCTTGCAGAGTGAAACAAGGCCATTTAAGAACCCCTTGCGTGCTTTGTGATACGCCACCCTTGCTTGGTAATGAGGTGGATATGACCGAGTAGATATGACTTACTCTTGATGATGGGGTAGATGCCAGGCAGCACGTTAATGCCACACACGCCATCCCCTCCCTGAATGTCCATGCGCATGTTCCCTCTCTTGCCCCACTCTTCTCCCCACGAGTTGCGGATGATCCAAAACGGAGGAGCAATGCGGTTCTGGCTGCCATCGTTTCTTGTAATAAAGTAGCCAATAACGAGTACGACGTGGTTGAGATTGCCCGTGTAACAACCAGGATCCTGGTACTTGAATGTCTGAAACAAAATGGGGCCACAACAAACATAGATGGGGAGTTCAAGAAGCACAGTCATATGGGTATGAAGAAGCTGTGGAAGGGGTGACAGGAGGAAGCACTGCAAAGTGATGGTAATTGGTCTATACGATCCAAACTCACAGCAGAATAGCATCAGGAGTATCTGCCATATAGGCGATGACTCTCAACACAAGGACCGCACATCACAGTGTCCAATGCATGAGACTGAGTGAGAGTTGCAGCGACTCACCCCATCATAGAGCATGAAGGTTGGAGACGCCTCGATGTGAACCACCACTGGCTGCCGCTGCACTGCCGGCATGAGCCCCACATACCCCTTGAACCGCGCTCGTTCAAACGCCTGCACCTGATATGTTGTTACCTGGGACCACGAGAGGGAAGCATTGTTGGACGAGAGGGCAGCATTGTTGCATTGCATGGGAAAAGATGGGAAGTGGGTTAGTTTGGGGGAGCTTGGCAGAGTTATGAAACTAGAGAGCGGTGCAAGTGGTGCTGATAGTGCTGTTGTTGCCTGGGACCACGAGAGGGGCAGCATTGTTGGATGGGAAAAGATGGGAAGTGGGTTAATTTGAGGGGGCTTGACAAAGTTGTGAAACTAGAGAGTGGTGCAACCGTGGCTCCTCCTGATGCAGGGCACTCGAACTAATTTCCACCATGGCAGATGGTGGTTTGACGAATCAGCAACCAATCTCTCGGCCAAGTATAGAAACTCTCCTGACTGATTGGATGAGGTGATTTGGCTTCTAGTTTCAAGCCCAAGAGCATCCAAGCGGGCAAGGTGAATTACCCTCCACAAATCCCACACCCATAAACCTTTGATGTCTTTATGCCACCTCACGTGATACATACATACCACGTCCTCATTCTGTTTACCCTACCGGGTCACTGTCCCCTGTGAACCCACTGGAGGCATCGAGAGCTGTGAGCATCTCAAAAGCTTGGGTGGGGGAGCCGCCAGCAGAGCACTTGTCTGAATCAGTGAGACCCATGAGGGCAAAGAGACCCTCCACTGACAGCCGAGGAGCGCTCTGCTGCTTTGCAATGCCGTATGCCGCCTCGACACTCGCCACCACCGCATACGCCCAGCATGCATCTGAGCAGGAAAGGTAAAGCATTCAGTCAGGTTGGAGTGACGAAGAAAAGCAGGCTTTGAGTTACAGTATATAAGGTTCCTTGTCTTGATTAGGTGTAGACATCTCATCTCTCTAACCTGATCAATCCAAAGTCTTGACAATTTGAATGGAATCTCCAGCATTGTTTTGTTGAATTCTATTTAAGTACTTTACTTACTGCAGTGAACACACGGAAGTGAAAATGTTGTGACTATCTTTCCACTCACTGCAGTCGTTTTGGTTCTTGACAGGCCAGTTGAGGAAGGGCACATTGTCCCACGTGTGGAAATCACGAATGCTCCACGAGTCCGCTCTGGTGGCCGACAGCTTGAAGTCCGCACTCACATAGCGCGAAAAGGGACTGGCTCGAGATGGTGCAAATGTAGACTCTGACAATGAGAGGCCGAGGGCTGTGAGGGGTGGGTGGGAAGGGGTGGAGATGAAGGGAGATGTGGATGGGTAGTGGTTGAAAGGCATGGCACGGTTTGGACCTATGATGTCACAATCACTGAACCCAATTCCTTGCAAGCTCCAATTGATTGCAAAGAAGTTTGACATGTGAGAAATTGATTGTTGTGTGTTTGTGTGCGTGCGTGGGTGGGTGGGTGTGTGTGTGTGTGTTACAGAGCATATCAGAAATGATTTGACAAGGATAAGACGGGAGTTAGAAGCAATCCCCAATGACCTCGGCTGAAACCGCCAAGTTTGCTAGTGAAGCGAGCAAGACGCTTGTTGGTGACCCACTTGGCGGAGTGAAGGTACACACATTCCAGACACAGTCTCCAATAGGAAGGCAGGACTTGAAACTGCGGAGGAGCCTTTACGATGGGTGGTGAAGTCGGTTATTGGAAGAGGTATGTGTTGACAGGAGTTGGCCCCGCCCTCGCTTGGGCGAAGCCGACTTCACGGTCGGGTGCGCAAGAGGTGCAGCCGACCGCCTGCAGTGGTCGACGCCGACCTGGGCGAGGAGCTCGACAAAGTTGGTCGACCTGCGGGAGACCACTGCGACGCCGCCGACGACGGGAAGCCGACGGCCGACTTCAAATGGGTGGTCGACGAAGGAGGCCGTCGACCGGAGGGCACCGACCGACGGGGCCGAGGACGTTGCGCGGCCTATTGTGTAACAAGGGCGACGAAGTTCTGCGCAGTTGCGCGAACGTTGCCTGGTGATTTTGGTGAAGTTGACCTGCGAGGTGGTATTCCGAGGTTGATGTGGTCCATTAGACGCAACCACCGGCACGTGGCCGACTTGGCACCCACGCAAAGTTCGTGGCAATGCGCGACGTGCACAACATCTACAAGCACCTACGGCACACATGCACTTACAGTCACCTGGGGTTGCAGGGTTGTAGTGTTCACAAGCCACCTTGGTGCAGTGTTGGCAGGCCGCCGACTTGCTCTGTTGGCAGGCCGCCTTTGAGCAACGCTGGCACGGTGCCAACCTGCAATTCTGGCAGGTCACCGACTTTGCTGTGCTGGTGGTCGACCTGCCTGTGTGCTATTGCATATGATGTAGTCATTGTTGCGTATCATTCTTGCATAATTGTATCCAGCTTTTGCTAGTGAAATTATTGCCAACTTTCCCTGTGAATGCGGATGTAGATAGAACACAAGCAAACACTACGACCATTCGTACCACCCGTGCTTCCTACCGTAGTTCAGCTGTTGGTGTATAGTGACTCTCCACAGTCTTGCCTTGCTTGGGGAAGACAGTTTCCAGCTGCTCGAGCTCCCTATGGGTTGTCTGCACCTTGGTGAAGTAATCAACCATCCCCCTTCGGAATGCACAATCAAAGCTAGCTAAGCTTTTCTCGGTGGTTTTGCACGTAGATTGCTAACAGTGACCGATGGCGACGTGGTGGGGGAATTATGGAAGATATGTGAGCACAATAAATGTCTAAACATACAGAAGGTTCTGTGTTGCCGCGTGGTATGTAGCTCACCTTGCTCCTTGGTCTGGACGGCCTTGGATGCAGGGGCGCCTGTTGAGGAAAACACAAGACGAAAGATAAGCACAGAAGCCAGAGAGTGTGCGTTGGGTCTTGGATAGGGAGAGAGCCACCACATGAGTGGGTAGCAAAGGCAAGCTCGTGCTAAATAGCTACCACTAACCACCATCTCGATAAATGCCTAGCCATGGCAGGAGACACAATCATCAGTGCCCAGCAAAGATTCGACTGAAAACCCAATACATAATGAGCCAAGGCTTGAACCCAAATCGGCTCGAAAGGAACCGAGTTAGGCCAGAGGGATGGTTGAACCGAACCCGAACGGGTTCAAGTCAAACATGTTGATTTGGCCGAACCGTTCAAGTCAGATTTTGGAAATGAAAAAAAAAAAGGGTACGAGAGGAAGTTGAAGTTTGAACTTCTTTCTTGGACCGTAAAAGTACATCCCGCACAATCCAAACCTCACGAGTTGATTCGTCGTTCTTCGAAAATGCTTCATATGAACGAGGAATGAAAGTGAAAATACCCTAGATCGTATTCTTATTCCGGCCTATTTCTCATCATAAACTATTGCCATCACTACCAGCAACCATCCACCACCACCACCCCGAATTTATCATCAAGGCAGTCAGCGTCATCCCACCTGCCCAGAATAGCCTTGCCTGTTTGCACAGCGGAGAAGAGAATGCCATGCAGCTGGAAAGCAATAGACGCCGTAAACCCAAACGAGAATGCGGCACGCTGCTGCTTCACCCGCGACTGCAGCACAGTACACAGCGACACACCCTTCTGCAGCAGCAGCGGCTCCTCTGGCTTTTCGTTCGAGCTCGCCAAGAAGACTCGAAAGGTGCCCGGATCCCCAGGCTCATAATCCACCCACGCCGTGTATGAATTGCCATCGGTGAACATGAATGGTGATACCTTTGACACCACGGGTTCCGCTCTACCATTCAAGTTTAGCCCCACGCCCTGGTGACTCTCTTTAATGTCAAATGTGACGGCTATGCTCCGAGCTCTCATCCCGCTGTACCCCACACCTCCTGGTTTCCCCGCCTTGGCCGTTGCGGCAATCACAAACGCAAAGCCGCTGGGCCCGGCGCGACCAGAGTGGCGCTTGAGAGCAAAGGTGAAGTTGACAGTGAATGCCAACTCCAAGCCACATCTTGAGGTCACACCAGGCGGGTAGATGAATAGGGTCACAGGCTTTCCTGCAAACTTCCCCACTGTTTCCTGCTGTGTTCCCTTGGTGAGAACCGTGAATGGTGGGAGAATTCCCCTTGAGGTGGCTGGAGAGTTGCGAGGGAAGGGCAGCGGTGCATGGGGCAGAGGAAGGATGGGAGTGAGTGGGAGGAGAGCATCGGAATGTGTATGTGTTAAGTTGTGCAAACTGGATCATATGGTCAAACCTTATGGGAGCGACGTCCTTAGATATGGGTCTGTGCCTTGTCTATGGTGATGTCACCGTGATTCAGCATGCTCAACAAGTATGATTAGCATGCGGTAAGTGCAGCAGAGCATGGTTTAACTAGATGTGTGCGAGCTACAAAGTAGAGGAAATGGATAGAAAGTGCATCACTTAGGAGCACCAAAACTACGACGTCCTTAGACTCAGTGCCTTATTCTTTTTCGTAAAGCATAACATGCGACTAGCATGCTACAATCGCTGCTCACCTCCTGTGAATGGGACACAGCGGAGTAATCCAAACTGCTTGGACCGTGCACCACACAGGCACGTTGGCACCAAACTGGGCCCATCTGGGTAGCACACGCCACGACCACCACAGGCAGGAGTGGTTGGAGAGACGCCACAGAAAGCTAGACACTGCGCTGGTGGCCGCTGTAGTTGACCACAGGCCTTTTCTTGTGTGAAGCAGTTGGCTACGATGCTGTGTATGCTGCAGTTGGCTTCAAAACGTCGCATCACACCCGAAAGGTAGTTGTTGGAGAGGTCTGCTTTGATGCCCGAGAGTTTTACAAGGGGGCCTGTGAGGTAGTTGCGCGAAAGATCGCTGCAGGGGGTAGGGGAGAGAGAAAGAAAGGTGTAATCTCAAAAAGAGATGGATGAAAAATAAATATAGCAGGAAAGAATAAGGGAGAAGAGAGGTCAATGGAGAGTGAGCACGGGTTTGGACTGGCATCAAGAGGAGGAAAATGGCAGAGAGGGGAGGAGAAGTAGCTAGAATACAGCATTTAAATATGATTACTGTATCATAGCTTGTCTACTCGTAGTTTTTGTGGGTTGGATGTTTCACCAGTATCCCAACCCTACCTAGATGTGATCAGGCAAAATCTCCAACCCACCAATTGAAACTTTCAGCAGATCTGATCTGACCAAGCATTGCCCTTTGACTTGGCTCGATCAACACCATTTTGACGCATATGATTTTTGAGAATTCTAAAAAACCATATGCCCCCCTTCGGATTTAGTATTGAGGACTTGAACATAGAGCCATGAGCAGGCTGGTAGGCCCGGCCAAAGTGGATGGGGTCGACTACACCAGCCGGTTCAGCCAGGTTCCATCAGAACCAGACCATGTGCATTGCCTTGTTATACAGGTTTTACAGACTTGCGAGGTGAGGATCTTTATTGCAGGGAGGATTGACGCAGTGAGGTGATGAGTCCATCCATGCACGACCTTAGCATACCAATAAGGAACGATCCGTCGATAGTGAAACACAGCGTTCTGGGAAACGGGAAGATGTCGCAATTTGAATTGGCCGACGTGAATAAAAAAAGACGACTCATGTAAACAGAACACCTCGCTAAAACATGTCACGATTCTATTCCGTTTACTCGTACATTTTGTGACAAAAGGGGTGCCAATGGGTGCAGAGGGCACAGAAGAGCCAGGCAGACGGGAATCAGGAGGAGCAGGGGGGGGGAGGACGGCAAAGCCAGCCAGCAAAAGAAGCGCAGAGAGGCACAAGGAGCATGGAAAGAGCTGGCAGAGTGGGTGCATTTGGAGGCACACGGAATACGGCTAAGCAAGCCCGGGGCGGAATACACGTGGGATACGTACGTGGTTCTTCTAGGATCTTGTAGGGGAGTGAATT